TAACATTTGGGCTGCTCCGAGTCTGACTATGTTTGCCAACTGCAGATGGTGTCAGCAATGATCTCAGCTTTGGCTTGCTTGAGGCCAAAGAAGAACTCCGTTCTCTCCGCTGAGCATCTTCAAGTTGATGCCCACCAAATTACCGTAAGGATGATTAGGGGCACTTATCGAAGAGGTTGGCTTGGAAGGCAGCCAAGTTGGCTAGGAACAGGTGGTTTCTTTCCTTGCAGAATGAGCCTGATGTCCCACAGAAAGGTGGTAGGAGTTAATTGGTTCCACACCTTACCCCACCATCTCCATATGTGGAGAGCCATTGCCAGCAGACAGTGTTCCAAGTATGTGACCCTTCGCTGGGATGAGCGGCTGTAGTACGAGGAGATTGGAGACAGCACCCCCTTTTTCCAATTGTGTTCTAGATACTATCCAAAAAAAAAAAAAATCCGGGGTTGGCAAAGATCTGCGCAGAATCATCCAGGGAAACCAACAGTGCTTCCTCAGGTTGTGCCTGCTAACGAGCCACAATTTTAGGAAACGTACGGCCCACTACAGGAGTGCCCAAATTCATCCGACTAGAAACGTTTCTACTCTATTTTTTCCCACTGTTGATAGCTGGGCCAAGAACAGGTGGTTTCTGCGGGCACGATGTGAGGTTGGCATTGTGTGTGCAGACATGGTCCATGATATCCCATTTAGATCCGTGTCCTTCAGTGGGGAGTCCCTACTCCACCTTCTCCCTACTCCACCTTTTCTGCAGCATCCCTGTGCCTTGTTTTTTTTTTTTTTTTTTTTTTTTGAGCCCAGGTTGTTGTAGAGGTGGGATACGAGACCAATGACAACTATCCTTAGTACTCGGCCACTCGGTTGTCCAGCTGAATCCTTCTGAATGCGCCATATACTGTCCAACAGGGGCAGTTTTTTCTTTGCAGGCCATTCCCACTCTGTGGGGTCAAATGGTAGAACACAGAGAGGGATAAAAGGGGCAAAGGGCAAAAGTAGCAAACCACACGCAATGAAGCCTTAGGGTAGTTTTTGGCCTGTGCCCATATAACTACTTTTTTTTTTTTTTTTTTAAACAAGCTCCATCTATTGGTGGGGAGCAGCACCTGCTGGAAACCGGGTCCAGCGTCCCATAGATACAACCATATCCTCACAAATTGGCACAAACTGGGAACCGGGCCCCGCGTCCCATAAGGAGTACGCTCAGAAAACTCATCAGAAAATTTCATGAAAATGAGACTAGGAACCTACTAGAAAAATCTAATTGGCCTAAGGATGGAATTTTGGAAATTGAGATAACGGGGCCATTACCCTGCTTTGGCTCAGAGAAACTGAAGCTACTACGACAACTTCATGATTAAGCAAAATTCAGAAACGACTCAGAAGAACCTCCATCAATCCACTGCGGCGGAGCCACCATCTCTGCTGCTGCTATACCATGCTCCCATCCAACCAGCTAGCCCCCTCACTGGTAGGACGCGTGATAACCCACCATCTTCTCCCACTCACCTTATTCTCTTTTTGAGGTACCTAAGAACTCTTACCGTCGTTCAAGAAGCATGAGAATAGGCCACAGAGGTCCTACAATTGTTCCGAAAACCTCGAAATCCCACACAAACCCTTCCAATGTTCTCCAAAACTGTCTTACTCCATGTCGATCTCTTCTAGGTCTCACACCCCCACTTTCTGCTGGGTTACAGGGCAACGCAACTCACCCCAGCTCCGACCAGCGTCGTCCCGTCAGCGACCCTTGGTTGTCCCGTGGAAAGCCCACCCCAAGACATCCCCAGATCTCTCTACCAGACCTCACGCTCCTGCATCGCAGGTTACAGGGCAACACCCCAGCACCGGTCAGCGTCGTTCTGGCATCGAACAGCCGCAGTTCACTGAGTATAACAACATCGAAGCCACCTAAGACGAGTTAGTAGGTATCCCAGAATCCTAAAAAACATTCCTAGGACCACTAAGCAACCAACTCTTTTTGGGATTCGAAAAGCTTTAGAAAAATATGAGAGCGGGGGGGGGGCAAGACTTAAACTGCCTACTACCTTAGATTCCCCCTTTCAACAGACGAGGTGTCAGTCTAGGCTTTCAGTCCTCGTACCAGAACTCACTTGATCTCATACCCCCTTCTGCTAGGGTAACAGGGCACCACAACCCTCCCCAGTACCGACCAACCTAGCTCTGACGGACAGGAAGTGCCTTCCTCCCTCGACAATTCCCTTAGCGGCGAGCCCCTAAGCAGGTTACAGGGTCAATACCTCGGCGCCAACTACGTCGGACAATCTGGTTATGCCTTTCACCCTCGTCATAACTTCATAGGCCTCAAGCTCCCCCTGGGTTACAGAGCAGAGGCTCTGGCACCAGCCTGTGTCGTCCCAGCATCATCCTTCTAACCTACTTACCCTAACAAACAACCTTTTTCTGTTGAAAATCCCCTTGCTGCCTTCCTTCCTTCAATTCTAGCTTCCCCCCACCTTCGGCTCACTGTGTAGCCATCGAAGTCACTCCTTCCCTCAAAGAGCAAAATCCTAACACTCTGCTATAAGCAACCACCCCATTGCCTTCTCTCCCCACCCGCCAGTACTGATCTGACCGTAAATCAGTCTGGCTAAGAGGGAGGATCTGCGGAAGATGGATGACGCCTCGGACGAGTACTACAAGGAAAAGTTGAGGATGACCCCCAGGGTGTTCATGGAGATCGTGGAGGCGTTGTCTCCTCTTCTGCAACGGCGGGTGACATTCTACAGGGTTCCTTTGCAGCCGAATCACATCATCACATATGCGTTGTACCGATGGGCGAGCGGTGAGACGTACGAGAGCAGCACGTCGTCATTCGGAATAGGGCGCGCATCCGGGTTGATCGCAGTGGAGGACGTTACGAGGGCGCTCCTGAGGGTGTACAATGACAAGATCGTATGGCCTACTGGGATACGTCGTACGCTCGTTCTGCGTGCCTTCGAGGCGAAGGGCTTTCCCAACTGCTATGGCTGCATAGACTGCACGCACGTTTACGTCGACAAACCGGCGAAAGCTCCTTTGGAGAACTACTTCGACCGGAAGCATCGTTTCTCCGTTGTAGCGCAGGTGGTGGTGGACCTGGACTTGCGCATCACGGACATTTTCGTCGGTTACCCAGGGAGTTGCCATGACATTCGGGTGCTTCAGCTCTCGAGTCTGTGGGCGCGTGCGGAGGAGGGGGATCTTTTCCGTGGAGCTCCTGTTGTGCTGCCGTTCGGAGTGACGACACACGGTTACATTCTGGGCGACAACGGGTATCCGCCGCTGGAGTGGATTGTCGTGCCGTACGGGGGGACCGATCAAATCCCCGACGAGGAGAGGTTCGACAACAAGCCAAAGGTCGCCAGGGGAGCAGTGGAGAGAGCTTTTGGGAGATTGAATGGGATGTGGAGGTTGTTCCTCCGCATACACAAGACGAATATGGACACTCTCCCACAAAAGTTTCAGGCCGTGTGCATTCTGCACAACATCCTCCTTGACGCTGGCATGAAGTTCGATGACAACTTGCTGTGGGAGGTCGATGCTAATGGCGTGCGGCGGGGAGTGGACTTGGGGTTGGATCATCCACCCCACCCCATTGCTGAGAACTTCAATCGGCCCCGTGCGTTGGCGCTACGCGAGGCGTTGGCGGAGAGGATGAAACATGCGTGAAGGCGTGCACCGCGTCGACGGCACGTGGCTCTGCCGTCATTGTGGAGGTCGTTCTGTGTTGTGTCCAACGGATGCATTCTGTGTTATTTTGCTGTTGCAGGCATGTGCCGTGCCCTGGGGTGTTGTGTACGTTCAGTGCGGGTTGTCATTGATCGCTAGTGTCGCGGAGCTGTCGTCGGAGACACTGTTCATCCGCAGCTCTTTTCCTTTCTTTTTTTTTTTGTTAAACATTTTGTAGTAGGTTTTTGGCGACCGGTGATGTGGTTTGTTGTGAGCGAGTGCGCGCAGCTGCGCGATTTCGTTTTCGAAGAAGACGGTGTCTGTCGGTGGGGTAATCAGTCCGGAGGTGACTCGTTTTTGTTCTCCTTTTTTCAAATGTGTACTTTGGAGTGGAGTTCCGACTGCGTGTGTGCGTCTATCGGTGCTGTGTGAAGATGYTGTGATTTCGTGTATGTGATTGCAATCGAAATGTCTTTTTTTTCCTATTTCTTTTTTTTCGTTTCATTGCCTTTGGTGTTTTTTTTTTTTTTTTTTAAATCTTCGAGTTGCGGTTTGTATGTTAGGGGCGATGTGTGCGCCTTCCATTGATCTGTTGTCTCCTCAGGACGACTGGATCGTGAATGCGGTTATTTTTTTTTCGCAGTTCACATTGCGCTTTCATCAACAATCAGAAACCCAGTCCACCAGGAATGCCCGACCTCGCGGAGCATCACACCCTAGCTTGGACGAGTCTGGCGGGCAACCGATCAACCGATCATTGGATCAGTTCATCGGCTTGCCGGCAAAGCTGTCCGTCCTGAGGTGCGTAGATCATACGTATCAGTATCATCCCATTGGAAACCAACGACCGTTCCAAACAATCACCCAATCAGCACGAAGAAAAGGACATTCACACCAAACAAGAGAAAGTGAGATTTGAGGGAACGCATCGTCATATTCCAACGGGACACACCGTTCATTTGCGGGGGTAGGTCGAATTAACACACTCGCACATGATCATCATTGCCATCGCAGTGGCAGACAACGACCGTTCCAAACAAAAAAAACAATCACCACGAAGAAAACGATATTCACACCACTCACAAAAAAGAGAGATTTGAGGAAACGCTTCATCACATTCCAATGGGACACACCATTCCATTGCTAGACTCTGGTCAATGAACACACTCGCTAAACCCTATCGACATCGGACTGTCGTTTTCAACAAAGAACAACAAAAGGTGCCGCTCGTCATTCCTGGCGCAGACCAACCATCGCACCGACTTCACAATGCACCTTCAAATACCTTACAAAGCCAACCTCTGTCGGAGGTCGGTTAACAGCTACCAAGCGCTTTTGGGAGACGAGACACTGCGCGCGTGCAGCGGGGTGAAACAGGAACACAATCTACGAAGGGGCCCTCTCGTGGCGGAACGCGTCAATGCATGCAAACCATCTGCAGTCGTCGCCGTCATCCCCCGACTCCGAAACAGGAACACAATCTGCGAAGAGGACACTTATGCTCCCATTTCGTCATCTGTCCCGTCCTCCTTCCGATCAGCTTCAAAAGGTCCCGTCCCCATCCAGTCCACTCTCGCCGCGACGTCGGGGTCCGCCAAACCAGCGTTGCAGTTGTACCGCACTCCCCACGAAGCCCACTCCGGGATGTATGCAGGGAAAGCGCCCAGCGTCAAGGGTGGCTTCCGCGAGTCAAGACCACATTCATAGAGTGCATCACATGGCGGCGCCAGTTGAAGGACGATGAACACGCCGACACGAGAGTCGGCTTCGCCACCAGCTGCGCGTAGTAAAACGCCTTGTCGTAGGAGCGCTCATCGTCGCCTCCCATGCGCATGATCCACATGCACGCAGCGAGAAGCAGGCGGAAAGCATACCCGATTCTGCTCAGTCTCTGGTGTGACAATCTACCGCCGTCCCACCACTGTCCGGCCCGGAGCGCGTCATGGAAGCATGACGCAATATGCATCACAGTCGCCTCCTGGTGCGCGGTCATGTCATCGTCCTCCGGCCTATTCTCGATATATGCCCCGGCGAACCACAGTGGGATGTCCATCTTCAAAGCTACTGTGTGGTAAACTACGGCGGGAGGCACTATCCTCGACCACTCGAAGCTCTGCCAAACTGCTCTCGCCAGGTCGGTGGGGTAATCTGTGGCGACGTAGGACTCCGCGCGGGCAAAACCATCGAACCTTGAAGATGACCTGAATATCCACCCGTGGATGACGAGCATTGCCACGTTCTCCGTTCGTCTCGCCCGTCTAAGAGCTGGCTCTCGTTGCGCGCCATCTTCGATCCGCACGCTCGGGACTTCGGGGGGCGGCATGATGAGGCCTTGCGGAGCGCTGGCACCTGCATCTCTATTGACGATCGCACAGAAGTAGTCCGCGCAGGAATGCACCGCGTCCGCGATCATCCGTCCGGGGCCGGTTGCCCAGAACGCTTTGCCGTCTACCCACAACTTCGATTTTGCCTCCAACTCCTCCTCTTGGCGGGACCTTTTTTTCCTCGCGCTCAGAGGCTGGTCGTCCTCTTCTTCCCMGCGTGGAGTCTCCTCCCTCCTCTCCTGTTTTCTCCCCGCCTCTTCCACCCTCCTATCTTCTCGCCTTTCTCCAACACCGACGGGGGCGGCATGACCAGCGGCACTCGCTGCTTGCGCGGATTGAAGCACATCCCTCGACGAAGCGGCGACGATCGTAGGGTTTGATGCCTCCACGTGGCGCGATGGAGACTCACCCACCGGAGCTTTTTCGCCGCGCTCGGACACGGATGCGATAGTGGATGCAGAACCCACGGCCCTCTGCGGCGGAATGTCACCGGACGAAAGTCCTTGCGCACGAGCCATCCCGCCACCGCCGCCGCGCGTGGACGTCGGGACGCCAATGTTGGTGAGCGCAAGCATACGCTGCCTGCTCATACCGTCACGCCCGAACCCGAGCACAGGCGTCCCTTTAGAAGTGATGTCCATAGGCGTCTCCTCCTCTCCCCCGTCACCCCCCATCTCTCCCTCCGACCCGTCTCCCGCGCGGAGCTTTTTCGACTTTGGGATGTGGCCCCTTCCTGTTTGCCCTGCACTCGCTTCGCCGGAACCACCGTGCGGACGTTTCGCCTTCTGCTGGCCACGTGGCGCCATTCGCTGACGGTCGGATGCGCACGCCCAGTGAACGAAAACGGACTACCGCAGCGCACGAGAGGAARTCGCCARGGATCGTCTYRCRCGGGYGATGTTCAGYTCCCCGCGCAGCACAACGGSAACCCCACGCGTGSCCTTGCGCGCAGTCGASAARCAAAAGACTGSGAGAAGATAGCGCTCGCGCGGACCTTTATAGTGCTCGCGGTGACATTTCCCCTCCCTCGGCGCGCAGATTCCGCCCGGACATCCTCCACCACACCCCTCCACCCGACGACAGCGACGATCACCCATTCCGCATGGGGGGAGACCACCCCAAATACCCAGGGACAATGCGGTCCGGGGAATGGACGGCCCTGCCCTGGAGAGCCAACGACTCAACATTTCGAACCGCGCGAGGGTACACGGCCATCGCACACACCATCCCCCGCCTTGTTTCCTAGATTTATGTCGTCGTTCGGAGGACCGGCACCACATTTCACGACGGGCCAGATGGCGGGCGATTCCACTTCAACGGCTTGACAAACCTCACGCCACCGGCGTCAAGATCTATCCCTTATCGCTCTGGCAATCTCCATCAACGCCGTGCACATCATCTTGTTTGCCTCATCGGACGTCGTGTAATGCCTCTCCAGTATGTCACACTGGCGCTTCTGGGCTTCAACCTCCCGATCGAGGATGTCACTCTGCCGCTCCAGGATGCTACACTGTCGTTTGCTCGCACCCTCTACCGTGTCCGCCATCAATGAACCGTGTTTGTCCATGACTTCGGCGATGGCGTCGAAGGTCTGCTGCCGCATGTTCTTCCTCTTCGCTGGAGTGCCCGTGCTCCCTGCACTGAACCCCGTCTCCCGCGCTGAACCCGCATCTTCGTCAACGCCATCACCCCCCTCTCCGCCAGCAGAGGACTCTCCACCAATGGCCGGTTGGCGGTGACCATCCATTGCTGCCGGCACTGCTTCGCGTGCGCTCGTGTCTGCCACGTTGTCCGGGTAGATGGTCTTGTTATTTTTTGGCATGTTGTCGATCTCATTGAAGACTCGCTCATCCATTCGGAAGTTGAAACCCTCATCCGCTCTCGTTGCAGGAGTTAATGTGAAGAAGTTCTTCATGCCGGACATGTTCTTGTAATGCTGCACCTTCTTGTACTGCTGGAAGACGTTGTCCCACTTCTTCCCTATGTCGTCCGTTGTCCTGTCCACTCCGACCTCCACCAGCCACTTCTGCAGGTCCAGCAACTTCCACTCCCTGTTGCGCATGCGGCCATAGTTGTGTGGCATTCCCTCGAAATGAGCTTGCTGATCCCGCTTCGCTCGAGCGAGCTTCAGCATCTCCTCCACACTCCAAGCTGGGTGCTTGCCACCCTTGTCGCCCACAGGAGCCCTCGATCCTCGGCCACCACGCGACTCACGCGACTCGCCCCTCTGCTGACGTCCGCGTCCTCCCCTCCATCCACCACGCGCAGCCACGGGTCGGATCTCCAGCCCCTCACCGTCTTCCACGTCCTCTTCGTAACGGGAATCCGGAGACTCGTCCCCACTCGGCCGACGGCTGTCGTCTGCATCCACGTCGCTCCCCACACGAAGCCTGGACACACCGGTGGTTATGTTCTCCGTGGCAGCACGCCGCATCTGTAGGCGGCAGTTCTCCCACGCCTGCCTCCCGATGTCTTCCGGTGGAGTCCCATCATTGATTGCAGCACTTGCGGTCGCCCTCTACCACATTGTAGGCGAAGACACCGACGGGTGGATGGGTGTCACTGCCCTTGACGACTCGCCAAGTGGCCCGGCGCCCATGGAACTCGGGACCGGTGAACGACACCCATTCGTCGGCCCACCGACACGCGACGATCCTCCTCCCAACGCTGGCGATCCCACCACCCCTCCGCCGTGGATCGGACCACTTGCACCACTCCCGCTGCACAATCCGAAATCCAAGTCCACAAGCTCCGTGGCGGCGTTGTCCACACCCTCCTCCAGCAATGCGGTGAACGACTCGCGCGTTGTCCCGGCTTCCCTCTGCTGGCACTACCTGCTCGTCCACTCCTGCGTAGATCCACTCCCCAGAGGAAGTGTGTGCGACAGATCCTCAACCCAGGCGTCCTCCGGATCCGGCGGTAGAGGCTGTTCGTGCGGTCGAAGATGACTGTACAAGGACGGGTCGTATGTGGCGGGTCGATGGCCGGACCGGGCCGATCAGGAATGGAGAAATCCATCACACGTCTCTGCTGTCCGATGGAGCTGTCCCGCCTATCCATCGTCGTCTTCCTATCCACTTGTCGTCTCTGTCTACGCCCAGGAGGCCGCGTCACGACGAAGGCGCGCAAAAAGACGAGAAGAAGCAGCAGAAGAGATGATAGAAACAGGAGCGGTAGCTGCCGGAAGATGTCTGCCATGAAATGCACCACGTGTAGATGACCACCCGAACGGACAACCCTCACGCGCGCACGCGAATGGCAACAAACGGGGCGGCCGGCGACAACATCACGCCCCGCACATAAAACACATTTCGAAATATTCGACCGTTGGACACGACGCCCGACGAAGTGCAGAAGGAGAACCCCACCGCTCCGACGTCTGTTGCACCCGAAGCGGGACCCCCGGCCGTGTACGCGCGAACGGTAACACCAGAAGGCCGTTGGTGACCTCCCGCTGGTAGCAGCCGGATAGTGTCCGCCCGATGGACCACGGACGTCATGTGCACCAGCAAAAATTGAAACTTCCCGTCACGACGCACGCTCGACGAAAGCCCGTCTATCGCGGATCCTTGAGCCCAAGGGACCTCTCGAGGACCCCTTGAATCCAAGGATGCAATGGCTGGGGATTCCGAGGGACCCAAGGAAATCTCTTGGGAGCGTTTTCACTTTTTTTCAAGCATTTTTTGTTTTTTAGGACGCGGTGTAACCATAACTTTGGACATTCCTGAGGATTTTCAAGGAGGGTCTAACGAGGCCCTAAGGTAACCAACACACATGAGCAGTCTAACCACAAACCCGTACCTGCATCCTCATTAGACTGCTAACTGTATCAGGCAAACCCCTCATAGGCCAGGACCCAACATACAACACCATGGGCAGTCCCCTGGGTGGTGCGCAGCCAGTGTCTGTAATAGCTAACCATGCGTCAGCCCAAGGGGTGTGTGTCCAGCCGTGCGCCATTCTAACGCCCTGCCGGTGTCCATGCGTGAGGCTGCGGATTTGAACCCGCAACCTCATACCACAATGCGTGTTTCCAACCGGTGCTCTAACCACTGAGCTACATCAACTGGGGG